CTGTACTTTTCAGATTTTGGCATTTCATGAAATGGGATTCCTGGAATTTTTCTTGGTTTCTTCACCCTTTGCCCATTGTCTTATTTCTTAGCAGCAACCTATTTAGAAATTTGTAGTTCTGCAAATTCAGCCATGACTTGTACTCCACAATTTACTTTTCTGTTTCCAAGAGGAAATTGAGGATCGTGTTGCTGAGTATGGAATTAATGGAGCAAGGTTAAAGGATTGGCTGGAAAATTGCTAGTTTCTACATTATAGATGGACTCTCTTTATTGTTGCTCTCCTTGCATATCTTACCTAAGTTTCTGTCTTTTTTTCTTTCCAGGAAAACAGCTATCATTTCGTGCCAATATGTCAGGAATTGGAAATAAAAGAGCAGCTGGAGAGCCTGGCACGTCTGTGCCTCCGGAGAAGAAAGCAGCTGTTGAAGATTCAGGGACCACAGTGGAAACAATTAAGCTTGGGGGTGTCTCTTCAACGGTATGTGGAAATAATGCTGTTGGAGCCTGCTTTTCTTCTGTCAGTTGCAACCTGAAAGTAATAATCTGTGGAAGCCTTCTAGAGTGAGGGGAATTGATCTGAAAAGAAGAGGCAAGTAAAACAGCAACAAGTAGATGAAATGATGTGATGCTTAGCCCTGAAGAAGAAATATATTGACATTTGATCTTTATTTTTAAAGGTATATTTATATTCTTTGAAGAGTCTGGTGTCTGATACAGTATTGATTATAGGTACTTAGTAGTAGAAAGCTATACATTGATTTTTCATGTCAGGGGCCAGGTACCAAGAGGCAATGTAGCAAAATCATTGAGAGAGATGATGCCTCTTGTTTCCTTGACTGTAAAATGTAATTGTAGTACTTACCTCATTGGGTTGTTAAGAGGATGAAATGAAAGAGTTCCTGTTAAGGGTTAAAACGTTACCTTTAATATGGTAAGTACTCAATATACGTGAGCTATTAAAAATTTTTGTTGGGGTAGATATTGTTAATATAATGGTGAATGAAATAGATATTGTCCTTGCTCTTGTGGAGTTGACAATTTTATTCAACGGTTTTATGCCAAAGGATTATAGTAATGTTAGATGTCCACTAGACATCAGAGAGTCACCATAGTAGGTCAGGAATCTATATCTAGATCTGGAGGCTATAATTTGGAACTCAGCCATGGGGATATGGTGTAAATATGCTTTACATTTTTATAGCTTACAAAACTACATCTACTTTTTAAAATTGAGGCTGAGAATCAGAGAGAATAATAGGAACATTCAGAGTAAATTGTTGATGAGGTGTCATTTCTGAAGTTGTCTGGGATTCAGCAGCCTCCTGTCGCCAGGAGGTGATTTTGTTTTGGCATTGCCTCACACCATGCATCCCATGGACATTTCTTCATTCAGTAAATACAAATATTTGTTGAGAATCCGTTATTTGCCAGACACTATGCTTTACACTAAGAACAGCCCCTGGACTCCAGTTTGTAGGGTGGCACTGACAAGGGAACAGACTGTCATAGTAGAGTGGGGAATGTGCTCTTCTTAGGGATAACCACATGCTCTAAGGGAAGCACAGAACGCACATCCCAGTTTGGACTTTATCCAGAAGGCTGTGAGGAGCCATTGAAAGATTTTAGGCAGGGGAGTAACACTCTCTGATGTAGGTTTGGAGTATAGACTGTAGGGGAGCAAGGGTTATAAGCAAGAGTTCAGTTAGCAGAATTGTTTCCTCCTTCCTTCTCCCTCTGTGCCCTCTCATTCTCCCTCCCTGGGTGGTGGAGCTGGGGCATGTATCCACTGAGTCCTGCCACAGTTGATTGAAGGTTGCCTTTGAAGGCGGTAACTCCTCCTATGCACTTTGAGGTTGGTGTAGTGAACCAGCTGAGGTTGTGAAACAAAAAACTTTTAAGAGACTGCAGTGTGTGCTTGAAGTGAGAACACTGGTGATGTGAAAGGAGCTGTCCACTAGGGCTGTGCTGAAGTCCAGAAGACTGACAGGACATGGCATGGGGCTCAGAAAGTGTCTGCCACGTGAGACTTGAAGTAATCTTGATGAGAGATCATGGTGGGTTGGTCCACTGTGGAAGCAGCGTTAACAAGATTTGCTCATGGAATGGATGAAGTATATGAGAGAAAGGAGGCAAGATGACTCTGGGATTTTGGAAGTATGGAGTTTTCACTAATTGAGCTAGGGAGGAGTATGAGAGGGGCAGATTTTTGGGAGATGTAGAGGATGAATCATGAGTTTGATATTGGATGTATAAGTTAGAGATATTTATTAGACCTGTGAGTGAATAGATAGTTGGATGCAGTGATCTCAGTCTGGGGAGAGGTCTGGGCTAAAGCTGTGCATTTAGGTACGATTATTTTGTGGACAGTATTTATATCCGTGAGACTAGAGGCTCCCCCCTAAGGAATGAGCACAGATAAAGAAGTCTGAGAACAAGGCACTGAGCACCACAACATTTCACATCAGGAGATGAGACGAGACTAACCAACACATTCTAGATGATGACAGAAGTCTAAGATGTGGCTTTTGAAATGTCTGGCTGGAGCTCAGTGAAGGAGATAATCATTGGAGTTAAGGAATTCAAGATGCTGATAGTGTAGATGCTAGAGGATCAGATGGTTTGTCCACGTGTGTACATGTCCCCCTGTATATTGAAGTCACCAGGGGTATTGACAGGGACTGGGATACAGAAGGACTGGGTTGCCAAAGATTTGAATGAATGAAGGTCAGTGCTTAGGAGATAGATGACTGTTGATTGGGGTAGAGGGTGATCTGGCTGGATGGTGGAGCCTGTATTTTGTGGAGGTGCACGTGACTAGAACAGTGAGCTGGGTGAGGTCAGGGTTCTAGTGTATTTGTGTGTGTCATTCTGTTCTCCCATCATCAGAGATCCTTTCCTTTTTTTATCTCTTCTGCTCTTCTTACCCAGTTATTTGCTTTAAGATTTTAAAAAATAAATAGCTGTATTCATAGGAAATAACTAATACACATATTAGCCCTTGTTGAGTTTAACAGCTGATACATCTAATTTCTTTATGGAGATTAATAAGATTGGTTTCCTGGGGCAGGAGGAGTTAGACATTCGAACACTGCAAACTAAAAATCGCAAACTGGCAGAAATGCTCGATCAACGGCAGGCCATCGAAGATGAACTCCGTGAGCACATTGAGAAACTGGAACGAAGACAGGCCACCGATGATGCCTCACTATTGATCGTTAACCGGTACTGGAGTCAGGTAGCCAGCTTGTTTATTAACTCAGGTTTTTATCCAAGCATTTTAGTTCTCCTTAGCACTCTCTTTATTTCCAAAGTTGTGTCCTTTTGTACTTTAATAACCGTACCTCCCTTCCTCCAGTTTGATGAAAACATCCGTATCATCCTTAAACGTTACGATCTGGAGCAGGGTTTGGGAGACCTACTCACAGAAAGAAAAGCCCTCGTTGTGCCTGAGCCGGAACCAGACTCCGACAGCAATCAGGAGCGGAAGGATGACCGAGAGAGAGGTGAGTGAGTGTGGCGGATCTACCGCTGCGTGCTTTCTGGGTTTTTGAAGTAAAGTTTTTGCTTTGAGGCTCTCCATTTGAGGGAAGAAAATGGATTTTGATATTTCCAGTTTTATAATTTTAGGGGCTTCTTTTTTCCCCGTGTCCTCAGGGGAAGGGCAAGAGCCAGCTTTCTCTTTCCTTGCTACTTTGGCCAGCAGTTCCAGTGAAGAGATGGAATCTCAGCTGCAGGAGCGTGTGGAGTCCTCCCGCCGAGCTGTGTCCCAGATTGTGACCGTCTATGATAAACTGCAAGAAAAAGTGGAGCTCTTATCACGGAAGCTAAACAGTGGAGGTGAGGAGACTGGGAGAGGGGGAAGGAGTAAGAACTCACCTTTGTGTGCTAGTTTGTAGTTTGCAACCTTACACATTAATTTTTATTAAATTTCTTGGAATCCTAATCTCCAACATTACCAGTAATGTCATTACGATGGCATGTTAATATTTTACGAGTGCTTAATTCACATTCTGAGCCATGTGACAGTCCTATAAGAAGCTGAGAAAAGATTTTATCAGACCCATTCTGATGCTCTATAACTTTGACACTTTTTAAAAAATAACTTTTGACACTTGTGTAAGTGGCAGAATTAATTAAGAAACAGCTCTATGTCTGGATATTTGTGTAGTATTGGCCATTGGTTTGTTAGTGATAATAAATGTTTTAAATGTTGTAATTATATATTTAAATTTTTTTCTTTGTTTATTAAATATTGAATTTTGACTGCAGAGAGTCAGTTTTAATACGTTCTTGTTTTTTTTCTGTTGTCTAATATTTTTGAAAAGAGTTGGCTCAGGTTTTAGAATTGTTAGATCTGTGTTTAAAAAGATAAAACAAAAAATTATATGGATGGAAAAGTATCTATTTGAAATAAAAATATTATTTGAAATAATTATGTTATTGTGCAGTATTAATGCAGAAACTTACATTTGTAAAGTATTTGTGTAGCTAGGTTGCATCTTCTTAAATGCCCTGAGTTCATGTTTTAAATAATAATCATGGTCTAGTTACGATATCTTAAGTTCTCTGATTGTCACTAAGATGCTTAACTTTTCATTTCTAAAAGAACTATGTTGAATATAATGGAGGTTGAACCATTGGTTGGGCAAAGAAGGATTTTCTTACTCTATAATTGTGTTTTTGAAGATACTTGAGCTAAATTATCAACAGAATTAAAAGAAGAGGCATGTTAAGCACTTGTGAAAATTTTGTGGGCAAAGATCTCATTAATGTGTTTGTGTATTTATGTATTTTATTATTTGGATAACAGATACTTGCTTTAAGATATACAAAGCAGAAATCACATAAAGTAGACTACGAAAAGTCTTCCCATCTCACTATCCAAAGACAGCCATTGTGAACAATATTTTTGTGTCCTCTCAAACTTTTGTGTTCATATATTACATCTACAGGTGTGTTCCCAGCTAAACTCTGTCTCTTGGTACAGTGCCTTGACCCACTCTTCTTTGTTTCTCCAGTGTCTGATACTGCCTGGGGTATCTAGTAGGTGCTTGCATATTGGTGAATGAATGGCTATAAATCTCCCCTGTCACCTAACATAAACTGAGCTGTGTTTTATTTCTTTCTCCCTTGGCTCTACTTGAATAGTTAGAAGGTATTATTAAACACTAGTAATAGGCTACATGAATATACCATATGCATACTATATGCAGATAATAAACCCTATGCAGAGGCTATGTCATTATTAAACTTGATTTTATAAATGAATATCAAGTAAAAGAATTGCTGTATTTAAAAAGAAACTAAAATGAGTAGTGTATTAAACAGTACTTTAAAATTATTCTTTTTGATGGCATACATTTTAAGATAGGGTTTAAGTTAAAAATAAAAAAACACATTAATTACAAGTTACAAACTGGTAAGTTATTGTTTACTTATTTATTTATTTTTGGTAAGTTATTATTTATAATGTAGAAGGCAATTGCCATTGATAAGCTGAAATTTCTAAGAGATAAGGATATATAAAGTAAGAATTGTAACATCAGCTATAACTTTTGGTGGTTCATTTCTTTCCTCATGTTTATTTGGTCCTTGATCCAAAAACTGCATTCATTAGCTTGCTTATTAATTCACTAAATATTTATTGAATTCTTACTCTTATTCTAGGCCTTGTTCTCAATATCTTGGGCTATTAAAGGACTAAAATTCAGCCTCTAATTCTTAACTGGGCTTATAAATCAGAATCACTTTGAGAGTTTTTGGAGCATACTCTTTTTTGGCCCTGCCCATGGATATTCTTATTTAGTAGCTATAGGATGGATCCTAGGCAAATATCTAATTTTAAAGTTTCCGCAAGTGATTCTGATGGGCAGCCTTGATCGAAAACCACCATATGAATAACCTGTATTATGTTTCTCAGAGTGATGCCGATTTTACTTCCTGATAACTGTCCCTAAACAGCAGTATATGTACTGAGAGTATCTGGTTTCATTTATTAACATTTGGATTTCAGCTATAGTATTTGTGACTCTAATTTTAAACGTATGAATTTAGTATGGTAAGTTCTATAGATTGACTGCCTTCTTTGTATATAGTTGTGTACGTTTTGGTTTCTGAGCCTTTAGAGTGCCTCTTGGGTAGTATTCCAGAATATAAGTAATTCTACGTTCTTATCTCTATTCTTCATGGTTTTATAGGTGCTTGTTTGAGCAAGGAAGTTGTTGCTTTCTGCCCTCTCCCCCAACACAGAGATGCTTTAGTAATAGGAATTTGTGATAGCCTTAGAAAATAGGGTTTTATTGCTATTGAATCTGACCCTGATTTGGAGATACCTCAGTCTTATCTACAATTCTAAAATGCAGTTTTTTGGTGATTGTACCTTATCTGAATAAAATTATAGAACTTCCCTATTTCTTTTCTCAAGGCGTTTTGACTTTATAGAAAGGGAGGAGAGTTAGGTGACCTTGCCTCTGTGCCTACCTCTGCAGAAGTACAAGGTTGGCTCATTTCCTTAGACAAGTCCCCTAAGGACTAAGTCCTCTAAGTAAGTCTGGTACTTAATCTGTCATGTGAAAATAATAAAAACCATCCGACTTCTTGAAGTTTTCAGGAAATTAAAGTGAAATAGCATGTTAACACTTTGGTAGGAGTCATAGTTATAAAATTTGACACTATAGATGCTAAACTAAAGTACAGTTCTTCTCCTCAGATAACCTGACAGTGGAGGAAGCCGTGCAGGAGCTGAATTCCTTCCTCGCACAAGAGAACATGAGGCTACAGGAACTGACAGACCTCCTTCAGGAGAAGCATCGCACCATGTCTCAGGAGGTACTTGACCAGAAGGGAGAGATGGAGGTTTCCAGTGGTCTGTGGCAGACATGACTCAGAATACTGAGTGCTTCAAAGGTCGTCTTCCTCTAGAAAGTCTATTTTCAGATTAAAGAGCATGCAGGGCAAGTTAAAAAAACCAGCTCTGAGAAATCGAAGTCCGAGGACAGGTTAAAGGAAGGGAAGTAACTGAATATTTCCCTTTGACTTGCCTCTGTTTAAATAGACATCTTAGGATCTTAGTCTTTGGGAATTAATACTGTCATGGAGTTTTGCAAAACAACACACCCAATCCCCGAATATTAAACTACTCCAGATATAAAAGACAATGCACAGTGTTACAGAGGAATGGGTTGGCAGAAGTTTATCTGGGAATGGAGCACTAGGAACTAATTCATTTATGATGACTTACAAACTTGAGGCATGTGGGTTTCCAGTCCAGACTTGGACACAAATAGTGCCATGACCACATCATGTCAAGATTTGGGTGTGTGTTTGTTTACTTATATATTAAATGATTGAGATGAAGTGATGATAAGCTTTATAAGATTCTACTAAAATTTGACCTACCTTAGTTTGGCTACTCAACTGTTAACGCTTCTTAGTAAGTTAATAGTTACCATTTACTTAGTGCCTAGCACTTAAGCGCTTTATGAATATTATCTCTCATGGTCAAATAACTCCCATCTAAGGAAACAGAATCAAAGAAACTGGTGATGGGTCTGAGGGCACACAGTCAGAGAGTGATTTGGATGCCCACCTTCTTCATTATGCCCTGTTTCCTACACTCTAGTGCTGAGGTGCCTGCTGGGCTGGTTGCATGGAAATCTTCTGGGAAGTTTATTAATTCATACAGATTCTCTTGAACCTTCAAAGGGGTTAGGGTATAGCAGTGCTTATAAATAAATTGGAGTGTAGTAAAAAAGTATAACTTTCTGTCATATTTAAGGCATAAACTGGTTGCTACCAAGATGAAAAGGTCTTCCTCCACCAGCCCTTTCCCAAATCTTAGCTTTACTAAGCTGGAGAGATGCACTGCTTAGCTCAGCTGGGCTGATGTCCAAGTTGGCTGGCTGTGGACGCTACCTGTCAGCTGGGAGCTTACCTTTTATTCACTGGGATGCCTGCAGTCACCTCTCCAATGTGGCAGTTTCTGGGTAGTTGGACTTCTTACATGGCAGCTGACTTCTTCCAGAGAATGAGTGTTTCAAGACACCAGGCAGAACCTGCATGGCCTTTCAGACATAGCCTTGAAGTTATGTAGCCTGATTTCCACTGGATCACTACAGGTGACCCAGATTCAAGAGGAGTGGACAGTGACCTCACCTCTTTTGGGAGGACTGTCAAGAGAATTTTGGGGCTACATTTTACAACCAACACAAAGGGTATATATAGATTAATGTGAACATGGAACAGTTTTGTAATCAAAGTATTAAATGGCATTATCTGTGCAGCATAGGTTTTTATATCTTTATAACGTCCAATTCTAGTTTGCCCTGGGCTCAGCTTGAAAAAGAGGATGAAGTTTTCTTTTCGTATTCTTTGGATTATCATTTGTGAGAATGCGGGAAAGGAAAGTTGTGGGTAAAGTTAGCTGTCTTTTCTAAATAT